GGATATTTGATGAGATTTTCCAGAGGAGCTGTCTCTTGGCAATCAAGACTTCAGAAATGTGTTGCACTATCGACAACTGAGGCTGAGTACATTGCCGCTATTGAGGCAAGCAAAGAAATGCTGTGGATGAAGAAGTTCCACATGGAACTCGGCCATGATCAAGACAAGTACGAGCTGGGTTGTGACAATCAAAGCGCAATCCATCTTGCGAAAAATTCAACCTATCACTCCCGCACTAAGCATATTGATGTGAGGTATCACTGGATCCGGGATGTGGTGGAAGGTGGTGAGCTCGAACTCGTCAAGGTGCACACTGACCAAAACTGGTCTGACATGATGACAAAGCCGGTTCCAGCAAGAAAATTTGAAGATTGTTGAGAAGGAGCCGGGTTGATGCTGAAGCCGACGCATTGAAGTCGGAGGGGGAGATTTGTTGGGCTGCCTCCTTCAATGCTAAACCCAAGCCCATTTGAGGGGTTTCCTAAAAACCCTAACCCTAATTTCCACCTCCTCTATATATACTCATTAGTTGAGGGTGGAGGCTAGGTCAGATTTGGGAAAACAAATTTGAGAGAATTATTTGATTGTTTGAGCAAAGCTTTATGCTTTGCATTTGAGAGATCTCTAGAGAGAGTTTGAGTGAAACATCTCTAGGGTAATTTGATTATCACCATTGTTGGAGAGGTTGAGTTAACCACCACATTGGTGTATTTGATTCTTTGTAACCATTATTTTCATAGTGGATTTTTTATCTGGACTAGGTCCCGTGGGTTTTTACTTCTTCATTGAAGAAGGTTTTCCCACGTTAAATCTGGTTGTGTTCTTCTTCTCTCTCTCCTGTTTTCGTTTTGATTTTCCGCTCCGCTTCCTGACCTGGTGAAGTTCAGGCCGAGGTATTGCCGAGATCCGAGATCAGGATCTTGTTGATTGACTTCCACACAAAGGCTGCTTAACCGAGCTTGAGGGAACCGAGTTTTTCCCAACAGTAGTTTGTGATGTGACTATATTGACAATATTTAAGTGTGAGTGATGATAAACCTCATCTTGATTAGAAATCAACCATGTGAGGATTATATTAACTTATTGTTAGAACAATGATGTTAAAAATCATCGAAAAGAAATAATCTATTAGAGAAATCACTTCAACAATACACATAGTTCAACAATATACATATATACATGGCATATATATGCAATATCATACAGTTAAATTAAGACACTCATTCTCTATTTATTTATATAAAACATAGTATCGAGATTGAAAAGACACCTACTTAATAATGAAATAATACATTCATTTGGCGACGACACGACACATTTTTCAAATTAGTTTGATTTAAAAAATTAATTCCAACACTTATAATCTTATTAGTGAGGTAAAATCGCAAATAACACTCTTAAAAAAATATTCTCATCTATATATTTGATAAAATGGCTAATAAAGGAAAGAAAGGATTTTACTTTAAAATTAAAAAATAAAAAACATTAACACTATTTGACTCGTTCTAACATCGTCTACTCTATTGGAATAGGATAATACGTTATGTATATATATGGAATTAATAATCACTTACTAACCCTCGAAAGCGACCTCATTGTGATTGGTGAGGCATCGAATCGTTTCGAATCTTACGGAAAGATCAAGCATTGCTCAATCTGAACCACCAAACTCACCTACCATCCTTGCAAGGTAAAATATTGGAATTTTGAAAAGAAAAGGAAAAACAATGGATAGATAATTTGCGGACAAGTTTCACATATATTAATTTCCACATGTGGCCGTCTCTAGCACCACATGCCAATCAAATGCTGGATTTGGGGGAAACAAAATAAAATTGAGATACTAATTCTTGCAAGAAATGAATAATGAGGTACTTCATTTTGTCTATTTTTTATTATCAGTTTTATTTAATCTCATCTACCTCTTCTAATGACCCCAAAGATAAGATGAATTTGCAGGTGATTACAGGCATGACTCCCCCACTGATCAAAGGGGTGTGAGATTCTGTTCAAGAGAATTCAAACAATGCCAGTGAGATTCTCAAGCAATGAATCACCCTCCTACATTTCCATAATGTAAATGAAATACTGTGAAATCCTCAATTTTCTCAAGGAGTCATAGTCCTCCGAAAAGTGTCAAGTCATCCAGAACGAGTGAGGCTAGTGACATGGATGATTTTTCTAAGGGTTTATGTGGGTGGAGTTGGAAGGAGAACAAGTTGTTTGAGCTAGCTATAGCCGTGGTAGATGAGAACCACCCAGAACGGTGGGAAGTCGTTGCAGCCATGGTTGGAGGAGAAAAGAGTGCAGGGGATGTTCAAGAACATTATGTGATACTTTTGGAGGATTTAGAGCGTATAGAATCTGGAAAATTGGACCATAAACTGGGTGAACTTCAGCCCTGTCTCCTAGTTGAATGTATCGAGTCCTTATGCTTGTCTGATAATGATAAGAGCTAAGTTCCTTCTTCTTCTTCTTTGTGGAATATATAAAATAATTTTCTTTTTTTTTTCTCTCTGTGTTTGAAGTGTGTTGTATTTGCCTCCCTTGTCTTTCAATGGTTTCATTGTTTTGGTTGGTGAATCTCTGTTGAATTTAGACCACGCATAATATCTTTTTGCACAACAGAACTCAGATAACTTAATTGCTGATGTTATTTGATATTTAACTCTCTTAAGTAACTCAGTATTTTTCTTTTTATAATATCTTCTTAGTCGGTGTTTGGAAGTACTTGCAAGAATTTTAAAAATTGTTTTATATGTCAAATCCCAAAAGAATAAAACTTTCTTACTTCATGCGGAGTCACTCCAAACGTGTCAGATAACACTTTATTGTCCATACTGCAAATTTCTTCTCCTTTAATTTCTCTGTTTCACACCTATTTTCTTTATTTGTACATTTCAACATACATTGATCAATATACATTACAGAAAGTTACAAAAATATGCTGATTTCAGTGTCCACCCTACTCTATAAATGTATGAGGCAGAACAAACTAGAGTGCCAGTAGAATGGAAGATTTGCTCCACAAACTGGTCAGAATGCTAAGGATCTTTGATGATGAATTATCCCACTCAATCTGGTTCTGAACTGCTTATTGAAGTGTGGCAAGACTTCCATCCTGATGATTGTAGATCGAGTTTCACATAACGAAAGCAATTAGTTAAATAAAATCAATTGGACAACTATGGATTTGTTTGATAGCTAGAAAGTTCTTATAGGGACTTCCTTGCTGGAGGATGATACAAACTAAGATAGTAGTAAGACTTAATTTCGTAGTAGTTGTTCTAAGGAATTAAAAATTAGATGAGATGTAAATCAGGACAAGCATATTAAATTTTAAGAGAGGATTCTGCAAGCAAATGGAAACAAGTCCAAGTCATGCACTTTGCACACCACTTCTTTCATACCTTTTAATTAAGCTGAACCCATTGGCACTTTTGAATATAGATCATACTCAATAAACAAACAAATAAATTAGGAAGGAGAGTAAGGAGAAATGGAGAAGGAAAGAGACAGAGGCCAGGGAAGAGGCCAGGGAAGAGGCAGTGCATGAGTGAAGCCACAACAGATTTCTCCTCTCAATCTCAATTTTTTGACTCTATTCTGTTGATAGCTCCATCCATGCTCTGCCTGTTCCCTTCCTTTGTCCCGTGTCTAACTATCCTCATCATTTCTCCATTTGGATTACCTTACCTCGTCCTTGTCAACCTCCTCAACATTTAGCAGCTTCTGTAAAAATCTCTCATCCAATAAGGTTGCTTGAACTCTTTTCATTAAAAAATTGGAGCTTTGGATTATGCACAAAATGCATTCGTGAGTGGAGGTATGATGCAATCCGATGCTATATGTAATTGCCTGAGGGGGAATGATTTGTACTTTGTAGTACATGTACAAGCATGTACTATGGAATTTTGACTGTACTACCTCGTCTTATGGTACTACAAGTTAGTTCAAAGACTAATTAAAAGAGCAACTTCTGTATACAAAAAAATAAAAGAAAAAAGCGCAACTTCTTGAAGACCTCATGTGTACTACTATACTATGGCTTAGCTGGCAGTACTATGGTACTTGCTTTTCTCTTTTTCTTTTTTTGGACCCGATTTTGTACTGTTCATCAACAGTATTACTATAGCACCTCATATATTATTACGTTATAGCCTTATAGGAAAAGGGATTCACTAATTTAATATTTACTTTGTTGACTAATTTTTTGAATTTAAATATAATTAACTCAATTGTTGAATAATATGATATATTAACTTATAAACATATATGTTTAGTTTTAAATAAAGTAATTTTTATAGCTATATATGTAAACAAATAATCAACGTTTATTATACGGTAAAATAAAATGGTCAAATGAATTATTAATTTTTAATGATGAAATAAAGTGATGAATTGATCAGGGCCAATTTATAATTTTGTTAGAGCAAAATTTAAAATTCTGGCCATCAACAAGTTTGTTATAGAAGTGGACCAAGTGATAGGTCTCACTTTTGAGACCTATTATGTTAATATTTTCTGGTTTGACTCAGAGTTGTCAATAGCAGTTAGCGGCCGGTAGCGGCCGATCCCAAAAATGGTATAGCGGTGTAGCGGGTAGCGGTATTGTCGCTACGGTGAAGTATTAACAGAACAGTCTTAACTAATATAAATGCTCAACTATTAGTCCACCCATGCTCTAGTTATATATGTCATGCATATTGTTTTGTGTACTTATTGCATATCATATTGTGATTGCGTGGCTGTTTGTATGTAGGCATTGCACAACCTACAAGTGAAGGAGAGTGGCATAGGCATTTAATCAGCTGCACAGCACGTAAAAGGGAAGGAAGGGACTATGGCATATTAATTTTTTTTTTTTTGTTGTTGTAAATGTGAATATTAACATCAGCCTTTAGAATGCTTTGTGAGCTGGAACTGAACTGTATGTGAAACAATCAATAACATTCAAGAAACAATTCATTATATTAAAAGTGCAGAAAGGGTTCTTTACATTAAAAGTTCACAAACTTGTATCCAAAAAACTGCACAAACTTGTATCCAAAAAAATGCACAAACTTGCATCCAAAAAAGTGCACAAGCTTGCATCCAAAAAAGTGCACAAGCTATACTGGCAAAATGATATAGTCAGATAAAACACAAATGAACTAATGAAGAAAATCATCATCTCCGGATTCTCCATCAAATTCCAAAACATCTTCTCCCTCAATCCCATCTTCACTTGAACTAAGCTTATAGATTTGCTCTTCCTCATCTTCACTTAAAACTGAAGGTACAACTTGGTTAACCATTCTTGTTCCTCTTGTCTGTAGCCTTGTGTATGTCAGAGGCTCTCCAATCCCACTTGCATCAGCAACAACTCCCAAAGTCAAAGTATCATCATAAAAAATATTCTCATCTTCAGCATTATCTTCACCCACTTCTCCCACCAACCACTCATTGCTATCATCAATGTCTTTTAGGATGATGAGATCAATCACATCATGACTGTCATAGCGATGTTTAAGAGCTTGATTGTACTTAATAAAAACCAAATCTTGCAACTTTTGATGCTCAAGCCTACTTCTCTTTTTGGAATGAATCTATTTCATAATTAACAATAAAAAATATTAGTTTCTTCGCTTCATAAGCCATACATCAAATTTAACTATATGGAAAATATTACGTGTTCAAAAGTACTCCAATTGCGCTCACACCCGGATGAGCTACAAGTCAAACTCAACACCTTAATGGCAAAGTCTCTCAAATTTGGAGTTTGAGAGCCATACAACTTCCACCATTGAGCTATAATGCCAAAAAACTTAGCATTAATAATTAATAACAATATCAGTCCTATATAATTAATAACTTGAAATTCATGTTTACTAACTTGGAGCTAATAAAGTCATTTGCCTTATTGCTGATTTGATACCAAAGAGGCCTTCAGCAGTCCTATATGATTCTAATTGCATTGTAATTGTATCATTTTCTGCCTCATTTGCACTTAGCCTCTCAATGCATTTGAAAAGGCCAACCATCACTTCTCTATCATTTCCAATTGAATCATTGCCATAAAAGAATTCAGGATTTAGATAATGGCCCGCTGCATGCAAAAGATGATGAAGTTGGCATTCCCATCTTGTATCAATGATAGCAAATATGTCTTTGTACTTTTGTTCATCTCCACCGAATGATTTTTGAATTGCCTCCTTGGCCCTATCCATTGCCTCATAAATATAGCCCATTGCAAGTTTTTTCTCATTGTCAACAAGTCTAAGCACACGCACAAGAGGCCCCATAACCTTAAGTGAGAAAAAAACATCATTCCAAAAGGCAGGCATAAGTACAGTCCTTCTTGCCACTTTCCCCTTGGGGTCTTTGGATGCCTTGGAATTCTCCCAATCCTCAGAAATGAACATGTTCCTAAGGTTTTTTCTTTGTTTGTGCAACCTTTGCAATGTAAGGAATGTCGTAGCAAACCTTGTGACTCCATGCCTAACCAATTCGGTCTTATTTGTAAACCTTCTCATTGTGTTCAAAGCCAATGAATGGTTGTATATGAAACCTACAAGTTTTATGCCTTTTCCAATGGCTCTCTTAACCCTCTCAATCTTTCCAATGTCTTCCAACATTAAATCCAAACAATGTGTTGTGCATGGGGTCCAAAACAAATTTGGCCGCTTGGCTTGCAAATACTTTCCTAAAAAAATAATCAAGAACAAATTAACAACAATTGAAAACAATTTAACAAATTAACAAGTTTGATGTCTTACTCTTACCAGCTAAAATGTAATTACTTCTGTTATCTGTCACAACTTAAATAACATTCTTTTCTCCAATCTCTTCAACAAACGTGTTCAAAAGCTCAAATATTTTTTCCCCAGTCTTAACATAAGATGAAGCATCAACACTCTTCATGAACATGGTCCCTGATGGACAATTGACCAAGAAATTAATCAAGGTCCTATTCTTTCTATCCGTCCACCCATCCGACATAATCGAACATCCATAAGTGGCTCGTTGTACCTCATGATCCTTTAATAACTCTTTTGTATACTCCATCTCTTTTTTAAGAAGAGGAACTCTGCACTCATGGTAGCTTGGTGGCTTCAAGTGTGGACCATAGTTTCCAACAGCCTCAATCATTAGCTTAAAGCTTCTTGAGCGTACAACATTAAATGGTAATCCATTTGTACACAAAAATCTTTCTATATACTGAATGGTTCTTGCCATTGCCTCTTTGTCACAAGCATTATTTATGCTTGTTTGCTTTTTGTCCAACTTTATGCTAGGCCTTTTAAAAAAATGCAAATCTAAAGGACCTTTCACAGCCTTTGTAGCAGGGGTAGAGACATCACTTCCAGCTCTTTTTCTTTTTCCAGTTTTGATATTATGAATTTCAACCAGCTCTTCTACATCATCATCTTGATTGACATCAAGATCAACCATATTAGCATCTTTTTCAGCTTGTTTCAGCATATATGCATCCTTCAGTATTTTTTTAACATCAGCTGGAATTTTTCTACATGCCTGAACATCTCCTCTCAAACCAATCTGATGTCTTTTGGCTCTAGTTATTCCTCCATTTGTAGTTTGCAGGCAATAATCACAAGTTACGAATCTCCTGTTATTGGGGTCCTTCAAGCTATTCCATTGCCATGCAATATCAATGTTATCTCCAGTGGGTTTAAACAAACCACAAGGTGCAGTGTTCTGTTGTGGAACCGAAGGTGATGCATCAACAGAAGATGCACTAGCCATGGAGTTAACTGGATTTATACACAAAAATAAACATATATTAAAAACTGCAACGTATTGCTTACCAAAAATTAAAAAAAAAACTGCAACGTATTTATATATACAAAAATAAAAAAACTGCAACGTATTTGTTAACTTGAGTGATGCATATATATTAAAAACTGTAACTCTTACCAGTTAAATACTGGGTATATAAATATGAGTGATGCATATATATTAAAAACTGCAATGTATTGCTTACCAAAAATTAAAAAAAAAAAAAAACTGCAACGTATTTATATATACAAAAATAAAATAGCTGCATATAAATATGTTCTGGTTTTATATACCCAGTATTTATATATACAAAAATAAAAAAAAAACTGCATCATATATTAAAAAAAAACTGCAGTAGCCTACCCAAAAAAAAAATAAGCAAAATAAATAAAACCATAAGTGGCACCTTACCGAAAATACAAGAAAGAAAGTTTACCAAAAAAAATTACAAGAAAGAATAAGTAAAAATAAAACCAGAAGTACCCAAAAAAAAATAAGCAAAAAATAAGTAAAAAAGAAAAAGAAAGAAGAAGCCTCCATCAAAGAAGAAGAATGGGTAGTGAAGATAAAAGAAAGAGTGAAGAGTGAAGAGTGGAAGGAGGAAAGAGGAAGGAACAAAGAAGCCACAAAATATTGAGAACTTACCAGAAAATAGAAGCTCTCTTGCCGGAGAAGAGTGGAAGAAGGAAGGAACAGAAAAAAAGAAACACCTTGGCTGCTACTGCAACTCCATCGTTCTCCTCCTTTGGTGCCACCCTGCCACGTTTTCTTTCTTCTTTCCCGCGTGTTATGTGGTGATAATGGGTCCTTTATGTATAACTTAATAATAAACTTTTTCTCTTGACAAAAATACCCCCCAATGCAAAGGAAAACGACGCTGTTTGGTTTGAAACATCAAATTAAAAAAAAATAGGTCTTCTCCTTCCCGTAGCGTCCTGTAGCGTTCATCTTCTTCGACTGTGAGAATTGCTACGCTACGCCGCCACCTCCGCTACCGGCGTCGCGTCGCAGATTGTGGCGGCCGGCCGCCGCTACCCACCGCTATTGACAACTATGGTTTGACTATTATTTTTATGGGTTTATTGCACAAATTGACACAATTGCTACCAATTGTGAAAAGGGTTTAAATTATCTCCTTTTACATAAGACAATTATCTTATACTAGTGAGGCATAAAAAATTATGCCAATTCTTTTTTTATTTTTTTATTTTTAAAAAATGATGGGACCCGCATAATTTATTTCCATGACATAATGCAAGCTATCTTCTATTAAAGGAGATTAATAAATCCCTTTTGAAAATCAACTTTTTACGTAAAAGTGAAAGGAGATGATAGATATATAAAATTTCTATTACTTTAGATCAAAATACAAAATTATATATATATATATATATATATGAGATTTATATTTCTGCAGTTGATGTACGTGCAGCAATCAAATACTTATCATATATATATTTGAAAGCATTAAATGTGGATCATAACCATACACATATCGTTGTTGTACGTAAAGCGGCTGTAGAAATAATTTTACCTATATATATATATATATATATATATATATATATATATATCACATAAGTCACTATTCAAAATTCAATAAACAACTTCATATTTAAAAGGTATAAGTCACATAATTATATAAGTCATAGGTTTAAAAACACAAAAAAAGTTTAACAGCTCCTATAATCAAGTTTCAAAATATTAAAAGAATAAAGCTTAACAACTACTAAATTATATTAGTTGATTAAAACAAACACATCATCTTGCATTAGTTGTATGTCTTATTTTCTTACTCCTATAACAAGTGCTGCACCCTACGCTTTAAAATATTTTAATGATGATACAGTTGATATAATTAAATTACAAATCCTAACAACCTTATTTGTTGATCGAAAAACAGGATGATTTTTGTTGGGTGGTTACAACATATCAAAAGGTTGTTGAAATTCCAAATCTGAAGATAAGATAAAGCTTGAAGTTGTTGCAGTCAATTGAAGATAAAGAGCAGAATCAAAATTTGAAATTAAGAGATGAGGATAAAGTCTAAATAGCATTATCATGGGAGCAAAATTTTATGAAGAATTTTTACTATATATATATATATATATATATACCCATGCTCCAATAGTCTTAAAGTGAAGCAGCAAATGAGATCTAAATTTTTAGCCTAAGACTTGTGTTCTTTATTAACTTTTTGACAAGCTTAGGTTTTAAGTGCTTCATCGTCACCTTTTAGCTTTTCTAGAAACATTAGTAAGGTGGTTCATTTTAAGTTGATTTTTCTCCGTGTGTGAAGAGTTGCTATTGTTGGTAGTAACAATAGGTGTGGGCTTATCGGTGGATAAGTGTAAACTTTGATTTAAAGTGTTGAATCAAAGTAGTGTGCCTCAAGAGTAGATTAGGATCTACTTGTACTTGAGTATTTTGGCTCATTGAAATTAGTGAAGTGTTTTTTTAAAATCCCATTGGATTGAAACCCAAGTGGGTCGCGGTTTTTTACTCCTATTGAGCCTAAGAGGTTTTTCCACGTAGAAATTATTGTGTTTTTTTTATTTGTGCATCATTCTTGTGATTTCCTTTTATTAGCAAAAATTAAAAAATTATATTAAAAAAATATTTGAATAAAAATAACAAAGAGAGATAGGTGCTACTACTCAATTCAACCCCCCTTCTTGAGTACCATCGGGACTAACAACAAGTTCATTTGCAATAAAATGTAATAGATCGATTCAAAATCCACTTCAGCTTGGTACTCAAACTTTTCACCAATGACTTCACCCTTTTCTTTCTCTAAAAAAGTGACCTCGCGCGAGAGTTTTTTTTTTTTTTCATTATGCATTTTGATTTAGGGAAACAGAATTTTTTTTTTTAAAATAAAAAATGGGTCATAGATTAAAAGTTGAACTAGTTCATTTTTTATTTTATTTTTGTATAAGATCATGTTTAGTTTTTTTTTGTTTAAGTAAAAACGTATAAACCTGCATTTATATTGTTTTTATGTTTTTATATGGAGTTTTTACTAAGGAGAATTTTTACTTGCACTTTAACACATATCACTTTGTAAAAATGTAAATTTTTACACTAATTTTTCACAACAAGCTACTTCTCTTCTCAATCTGCTGGCTGGAGCAAATTATCATGTATTTTGGGCTAATCTAGGAGCAAAATATATTTACTCAAGAAAGACTGTTTCCTGACTTTTAACTTAATTTGTTGGACTAAAATGCAGGAACCAATTAAGGAAGAAAGCTTGAAGAGGAATTAAGGACAAGCCCAAGAGAATAAGCCCAATCACAGGGATAAAGCATTAATAAAAAGCCAAGTCTGCAAACAAAAGAAGAGTAGAAGAAATACTTCCCACACGAGTTGCTATAGGAAGAGATAACAACATATTCTCACGTGCATAAGGATTCTTGAAAGTGATTTGGTTCTAGGTTTTTAATGTATACAAGAAAAAAGTTTATTTGTGACAAAAATTTTCGTCACAAATTTTGTCACAAATGACAATTTTCGACACAAATAATCAAATTTCGTCACAAATAAATTTGCGACTCAGGAGTTTGTGACGAAATTTCATATGTAGTGACGAAATTTGCGACACTAATAAGATTTTTTCTTGTACGATAGGAATCTGTTCATTGAGTACTAAGGAACAAGTTTGGTGTGAGAGGAATCTGCATCAACCATTAGGTGAATCTGAGTCACAGCTTCTTGTTGTTTCAGGGTATTCAAATTAAGTACTGGAATAGGAATTTGGAAACGTACATTCCAATCAGCCTTCATTAAATTTCATTTCAGCTCATCTTTGTGACTCTGATTTAGTTGTTTAAGCATTTAAGTAAAGAAAAACGAAAAATAAGTTTCTTTTATTGTAATCACATTTTGCTATATTAGTAATTGTTCCTCATTCCTAAATACATTTTGCTCCTCATACATTTAGGAACACCAATTTCATTTTGTTTATGCACAAGCTTATGTTATCTGATCTACACACTTTTTTTTTTGTTATCTCATGTGTATATTTACACTGTAGACTCGGTAATTGCTCATTAATTATTATCCATGGTAGTTATTGAATTTGCTCAATCACCAAACAATTTGATTTTTGAAGCCTAAAGAGTTAAAAATAGTAGAGGAATGAGAATAGCAACTCGTTGAAGATGGTATAAACATTGTTTTTTATAAAAAAAAAAAAAAAAAGTAGAATTCACCATGATGAATTATGAACTTGATATACAGCAGATATATTCAAAATTATTTGTGTCGAAATCTCTTCTCTACAGTTGATAAAAAAATACAATATGAAATTATTAATTTCACATTCACTTGAAAACTTTTTGGTTGAATTGATAGAATTTCTTAACCGCGAGTGCACCAAATAAAACCACCTTCAATGATCAATTGTTCGAGTTTTTCAGTGATTACCCATTTACCCGAAAAGGAGCCGCTACGTATGAATATTTGTATCGAAGAAACAAGCACAAAAATCTTGAAAATTCAGCTTGGTCTGTGGTCAATATATCCGCTCCACTAGGATGCAAATTCTATATGCAATCCCTCAAGTCAATTCTCCCGATTATGACCATTGCCTCATTGACTCGTCCCATTTCATGGTTATAATCATTTTTATTATCATCACCATATTGTTAGGCTTCCTCCTTCAATATTAAGCTCAAGCCCATTTGAGGGGTTTCCTAAAAACCCTAACCCTAATTTTCACCTCCTCTATATATACTCATTAGTTGTGGGTGGAGGCAAGGTCAGATTTGAGAGAACAAATTTGAGAGAAAAATTGTTTGATTGTTTGAGCAAAAGCTTTATGTTTTGCATTTGAGAGATCTCTAGAGAGAGTTTGAGTGAAACATCTCTAGGGTAGTTTGATTATCACCATTGTTGGAGAGGTTGAGTTAACCACCACATTGGTGTATTTGATTCGTTGTAACCATTATTTCCATAGTGGATTT